TGGGGGTGGAGGGGTCTGGGGGTCCCCTTTCCGGCAGCCCGCCCCGGCCAAGCACCCCTAGTGCTGCTGGCGCAGGGGGCCCAGGGCTGTCTGCTGTGGGGTCCCTGAGTGGGTGCTTAAAAAAGGGACTGGGGAGCAGAACCCCCCCCCGGGTTCTGCCGGAGTAGGTGCCGAATACCTCGTTGCTTCTGGAGGCTTTAGGCTGCAGTAAATAATGGAAAGGAAAATCAGTAAATCCCGTAATCTCCTGGGTTTCTTGCCCTTCCCCCTTAAAAAGGGAGCTTCTACAGAAACAACTGCCTTCTCTTTATTTTTCTGTATCGCGTGGAAATTCAAGTGTTTTGCTAAAAATAAGTCAGTAAAGTACTTTCACGCATGCAAGCTCCAAGTTTAAGACGTGTCTTTAAAACTTGACAAGAGCAGGGGACAAAGATCCTGCGTTTTTGGAGTGCTGAATGTGACCGTGTGTGAGGAGGGGCCTTGGCCCAGGAGCGGCTGTTCCTCCTGTGATCTCCTCTTCCTTAACTGCCTCCCTTCATTCCTGTGCCTGCTCTCCCTCTGGTTTGCTCCTTTTACTCGGGCAGTTTTTGGCTGCTTATCTACCTCAAGTCAGATTTTCTGTGCAGGTTACTCGAAGGTTTGCTCTCAACGCCCGGTATTTCAAAAGGTTACAGCACAGCTCGTGTGTGTGGCAGCAGTTAAGACGTTGACTAAGATCCATAGCGTTTCTTTTTTAGGAAGGTTCTTATTTCTAGAAGTGAATTATCAGCAACTTTCTCTCAACCAATTGTTGCGTTTGTGTTGTTCCAGCCACTGAGTACCACCTCGGCCTGCTGAAGGCAAAGCTTGCAAAATACAGAGCTCAATTGCTAGAACCCTCCAAATCCTCGGCCGCTAAAGGAGAAGGCTTCGATGTGATGAAATCTGGAGATGCCCGGGTGGCACTGATCGGTTTTCCTTCTGTGGGTAAGGTCAGTGAGTGTCTACATTAACCACGTGGCGTGTGTGTTCCCAGGTTTGTGGTTAGCAGTGGCTGTGAAGCAGGTAGCCATCTTCTCTTCATCCTTCACCTTCTTGCCGTGACTTAACAGAAAATTACTGTTTGCCGAGAGCTGGAAGTTAGAGCTAGGGGAAACGCTCCTTCATCTTGTGTGCAGTGCCCTGCAGTAACAGCCTGAAACTTGGTCTTGCCTGAAACCGCTGAGAAAATAAGTCACAGTGCAGGATTGACCTTCATGCAGTGAAAGCGCTGGCTGTCCCATCGCTGCTTTAGTCCCTGTGCCTGGAACAGCTACCGCACGGCTTCTAAAAGCTGAGGAACACTTTGGTGTTGCTTGTTTTGCTGAACATTTACCGGTGCTTTCATTTGTCTGTGTCTAGTGATGCTGATCTCTTGCATTTCAGTCCACGTTTTTGAGTTTAATGACCTCAACTGCCAGCGAAGCTGCGTCTTACGAGTTCACAACCCTGACGTGTATCCCAGGAGTCATAGAAGTAAGTCAGATTCTCCTCCCTTCAGCACAGTAGTGGTGGTAAGAAACCCAGGCGTGTAAATGTGTCTGTCTGCACCGGTTACACTTGTGCTGCCACTAAGAAGCAGTGATGTCCAAAGGTCTCTGCTGACTTCTGCTTTAAACTTGAGGAGGTCTTAGAGTGCTTGCGGTATCAGGTCTCCTGCAACCTGCAGTGCTGATTTAGCACTTCCCTAGGCTACATAACTCCTCAGGATTGACTGCCTGAGCGGGGTTTCGTACGCTGCCGTTCGACTGACCAGAGCAATACGGCAATTCTCAGCTGAATTTTTTATAACCACTATTGGCGCCATTGACCAGATGGCTGGAAACCTTGACAGATTTGTTGTTAATGAAGCTTTAAAAGAGGCAATCTGTACTGTGATCAATTTGGAAAGAAAATACAACTACTCCTGTCCTTGAGGAGTTTTATTAGTGGTGGCCTAAGCATCCATCAGTAAAGCAAATGATAAAGGGCATCAAACTGAAAAGTGTCCAAGAGTAATGAGGAAACTTGGGTCAGAATTGAAAGCGGAGTTAAATAATGAAAGTAACCGTGTTGGTGTTAAAAGGAACACAAATACTGTAATGCATCCAAACGCAGCCTTGAGCTCCAGGCAGTCACTAAAGCCGTTGCCGAGGACTTCACTGCAACAATAGCTTGAAAGCTAATGCCCCGTAGACCTGTTGAATGAAACTCTCCCGTTGTTTCCTGGTACTGCAAAACCTGAGGCACATCTGAATAGTTCTGATCCATCTCGGTAAGAGATGGTGGCGCTTTCTTGTTACGGTGCTTTTTCATTAAACCAAGAAAGTAAGGTGTGTTTGGTTTTCGGTTTGGTTTTTGTTTTTTTTTTCTTCCCGTTTCACC